AAGAGTCGGACACAACGACTAAACAACAACAACAAACACAGTACTTCCAGCCAACTACAAAAATACAGCTGCTAGTTCCAGTTTCTTGCCATTTAGGTATCCCTGCAGTCATTTACTCCATTTTTCCTGTCAAACGCAACTAGTTTGGTCTTCCATACCTCCATTTTCAGATCCGTGTTTCTTGTTGCATCGCACAGCCTATCAAACATTTGCCGCAAATCATTCAGGTTCTCGGGCAGCGACATTATATCATCTGCATAGAAAAAATCATGCACATTCACTTCCCTAACCAAGATAACTGTAATGTAATCACAACCATTCCATAATATTATTGAACAATCGCAGGGACACCACATATTGTTATCTTACACTCTTCTCAGCGTTGAACCATTTGCTAAGCAATCCATGCATTCATATAGAGACTTCCATCGTACGCTGCTCCTGTTGCAATCTTCAATTCCGTATTTGTGAAGAATATTCCAGAATTTAAGCCTATTTACCTTATGCTTTCACTGTATCAATAATCACTAAACTTCCTCACATTCATAATTTTATAGTAGGCTGTTGAAGAGCAAAATCCGGTCCATCAAAAAACTATTCTGCCATTCTCAGATTTTATTCACTGGGACCTCTCATGTACTTTCAGTTAGAATTCTTAATAAACAAATCCACTCTAGTTTTGGCATTTTCTCTTGCCCTTTTCCTTTCATAATGGCATTTTCCCATTCATTAGACACAGAAGTAATCTTAACACACACTTTTTTAAAAGTTGCACATCTTTAAGTAAATTGCACCCATGTCTCGAGTTACACCATCTGTGTCTGCAGCCTTATCATTTTCAACATTCTCATAGCATTTACGATTTCCTTTTCATCAGTTTTAACTTGGACACTAATATTTACGCCATGTTTATTTATCCCATTTAAAACCCACCGAGAATCTCTCTGTGGTTGTGGCAATGTCTAAACGTGACATATATAATATCAATATCATTCCCATACAGATGGGAAATACTTTTAAAACATCTTTAGCAGCATTCTCTCACTTCGGTTTCCCCCCAGATAATTTCATCATGTTTATTTTTAATTATCATTTTAATTCCATTCACTCTACTGGAGGGTGGTAAGCCATTTCCTAAAATACGCCTCTCACTTCCAAAGTAATGTTTTATTTCTTTGGAAAGAAAATCACTCTGCGTTTTCTTCCTTTCTTTTAATCATAATTATTCCTTGATCTCTTTAATTACATTCTTTGCAACTCTTCGTCTTCTTTTCCCTATACATTATACGGCATCTTGTTCTCATCATTTTTTGCAGTAATCATTCCTGTATATTCATTTTTTTCTCATTGACAGCCTCTTCTACTAGATCATTCCACCAGGTGTTCCTTTTCATACCTTCTAGTAGCCTAACGTCACCCACTTCACATTTTCACTTCTTTCTTCCGTATCCATTTTCCACCAGGATCAAGTCTTGATATTACCAGCTTTGTCCTCCATTCAGAACCTCTCATCACGTTGGTATCCTTCAGTCATTTTCTCGTTCTTTTACATAGACAATCAGATCAGTGATGCTTTTAGAGTCATTCCTTGTTCCAAGTCTGCATATGAGCAGACTGAAGATTAATTCACATATTCAGAACAGACCTTAATGGTCATCGTTCTCATTCATTCTTGGGTCTCCAGATGGTCAAATCACTTCTTCTTTTTTTTTTCCATGTCATCTAATGCAATCATTTTTTTCCCTTGGATCATATTTATTCAGAATATCACACATTTCCCCCCAGAACTCATCCCTGGCTTTTCCTTCATCATCATTCCTTGGGACATAACATGTAGCTAACAGCATCCTATGGGTTCCTATTCTCATTCACATCCACAGCCATTGAGAAGACACCAGCTTTAACTTTCTGCCATACATTTTGGCCTTTGCATTCATAATTAAACTGACAGCTACGTTTCCCTGCATGTATTCATCAAGCCCACTCCCAAGTCAAGCCACCTTCACTCACATCCTTCTGCTTTCTCTTTGTTTCACAGACATAAACACATCTTTTGTTCCTTTCTCATATTTAATTCATCCATTCATGTGCTTTCCCATTTACTTGTCATGCATTCTAAGCTGCAGTCTTCTGTATGCCTCGGTCATCAACAGATGGGTCCATAAATGCTGACTTTGATGGCCCAAGTTGGCTTTGGTCAATCAAGGCTTTCACATGATGCTGTTCAGTGAGATAGGTAAAGTGCAGAGTGGGTTACCAGCTTTGGCCATACCTGTGCCACATGCAGCATTCCCTGCTAATACAGGTAGTCCTTGCTTAATGACCAAAATAGGGACTGGAAAATCGGTTGTTAAGCGAATTGGACCCAATTTTACGACCTTTTTTGCGGTGGTTGTTAAGTGAATTACACAGTTGTTAAGCTAATCACACGGTTTCCCATTGATTTTGCTTGCCAGAAGCTGGTTGGGAAGGTTGCAAATGGTGATCACATGACTCCAGGACACTCCAACTGTTGTAAGTACAAGCTGGTTGCCAAGTGCGTGGATCATGATCACGTGACCGCAGGAGTGCTCCGATGGTCGTAATTCCAGGCACCGGTTGTAAGTCACTTTTTTAGCACCATTGTAACTTCAAATGGTCACTAAACGAATGATCGTTAAGCATGGACTACATGTAGTTAAGGACAATACCAGTCAGTTTGGACATGTTTTGCCCAACAGGCCACAAGCTGAACTCAAGCCCAGTTTTCACTCAAGTACCCTTATGCTAGTCCATGCAAGCTAGGATTTCTAATCTTGAGGCTACTTGCAAGCCAACACATTGAGATCTGTATCCCACCAACTCAGAGGTCCATGCAGTGCACTGACAGGCATTCAAGAAATAACTAGATACATCTAGAATTATTAGAGCACACTTTGGTAGGCATTTTGGGATGACCCCTCTCCCTAAACTACATCACTTTTTTCACAAATTGACTAAGCTGGAAAAAGCAAATACTTCTTATCACTCGAAGTTTTAGGAGGGAAGAGTTTTCCCTATTCTATGCTTCCATGCATTGTAGGGTAATTCGTTTGGGGAAGATATTTGGTGATTTAGATGATTTATGATTATATGCTTTTTAAGGACTTGTGAGTAGGATAGGGACCTATATTTTCTCCAAATGTGTGTGTGCCATTGAACCATGGAAGTAGTGGTGATCTGGACGTGCCCTCAATTTGGACAGTCTTTCCTGTAAGCCAATAAAAACAGTCTCCCCGAATTTCACAACTTTCAGATCAGTTGGAAACATGGCTTTCAAATTTCCCAGAGGCTCTTTTGGTTGGGAAGTAGGACTGGATGGGTGTACTGTGCTACTGACCTAATTGGAAGGATCAAAGGCAGATTCTGTGAGGCTCCTTTCACTTTCCTTAACTGTATTAAAAAGGCATCCCCTTTAGGTTGCTTCTCAGGGTGCTTGTGTAGAAGCCTTGTAATGAAAACCGCTGCTCCATTCTGAGCTGCTAGATGTCTTTGTGTTTGCTGAACACAAACAGGAAAGGAAAAAAGCTGGACAACTTGATATTTGCAGAACTGGCCTCCTACAGAAGAAGAGGGGGAGGAATTTTTGTCAATTTCAGCCTTGCTAGTTTCATCTGGGACACTAAGGGGGAGATGCAAAGCCATCAAGCCAGCATTCCACTTACAGGACCTGGTAGCGTAGCCAAAGCTCTGGAGTGGAAAGAAAGAGAAAGGCAAAAGTTCAGTGGGAAATAGAGGGCACTAAGGTCCACAGAGCTCCAAGATTTCCAGCTGAAAACCAGCTTCAGACCTCTTTGGCTGAGCTGCTGAAAGGAGATAATGGCGTGGGGGTCCGAAAGATGTGGAGCTGTTTTGGCTGTAGCACAGATTCATGGAAAGGTCCTCAGTGAGGTTAGCATGCATTTTTTGCTTTTGAGGGGGCGGATTGATTATTTATCCGGTGAGCAGACTTAAATGGTAATCAACTGATGCATAGATTGATTGATTGATTGATTGATTAAAAATTGCACACTAATATTTTCAGACCTCTTCTTTTTGGATTTGTTTTAATTTCACAACCTCTCATCTCCCTCTCCAAAAATTACTTTTCGGTCAGTCCCTTTGAATTATACACTGCTGACTTAATTGTGGCTTGGATAAGTGAGTAAAAAGTCCTTTGAGACATCTTCAAATGCAGGTGACTTCATGGACATGACTGTGTAGTGTTTGTTTAGCCACAATACAGCAATGGCTTGCCATTGTTTTCTTCTGGGATTGTTTTTTTAACTTCTCAATTTTTAAAAAATGGGATCCCCTGGTGGTGTCCTGTCCAAGTATTAATCCGCTTTGACCCTAAAAAGTTATTTTGGGATCAGCAAAGGTCAGCTCAAGGACCCTCCCTGTTGCATTAGATTTGAATAGTTCTCACTTTTATTACTGTTCTTGTCTCAGATGCTTTAGACATCACGGGCAAAGGGCAGAGAGGTAAAAATGAGCCACTTTTTGCAGGACATCCCTTTTTTAAAAAAAAACAAATAAATGGGTAATGAGGGGCATTTTCCTTGGAAGGAATTTATTAGTACCTTTTGGTCTTCTTTCTCGGTCTGGATGCTTTTAAAGATGGAAATGCATTCCTTTTGCTCATCTGTACCCTTATTTGAGCACTTTGGGGCAGAAAATTGTACTGACTGAGATTCCAGACTAGGTATGGTTTGTTTTTTTGGGGGGGGGGAATGAAAAAAGTAGCAAACCCAGCTGTTTCCTCACCATCTTATTGCTGATAGGCTTAATCTCTGTTGGGTCTCTTCCAGTTGTCAGATTGCTCCAAGGACAGAGATGCAGATGAGGTGTGATTCTCCCTTTCCAAAAACCATAAAACTTAGCAGCGTGCAAAGGCTTTTGAATCTGACTTTGGGGGAGTTTTTCAAGCTTGAATCTGCTCTGTTTGGGGTTTTGAGCTCAGAAGTGCGCTAAAGTGATTGAAAGAGCTGATCTGAATGCGAAGCAGCTGGCCTGCACTTCGAACCATGGGAAACAGGACATGTCAGACTCAAGCTGGTTTGCGCATGAAACGTTTTGTATAACTTTATGTACCTTACCACAAAAATGTGGGGCTGGCTATCCAGTTGACTGGCTTCAAATAAGGGTTGGACAATTCATGGAAGTGCTGGAGATCAGTGGCTCTTAGCCTTGATGGGAGTCAGGCTGCCTCTGAAGGCCATCTGCTGGGAGACGGGTGGGCTTCCTTGGGCAGTTGGTGGGCCACTAGGAGAACAGACTGCTGGACTAGATGGTCCTGGGGTCTGATCCAGCAGGGCACGGCTTGTGTTCTTATGTTCTTATAAAATGTGCCATTACCTAGAACTATTTTTTAGGAGAAACTGAAATTGAGTTTTCCCTCACCCCATCGAGCAGTGAGCCCTGGATCTTGGAAGTGCCCTGTGGGAATCTTGGAATCCAGTGGGACTCTGGCATTTGGGGGATCCTGCTCACCAACCCCTTTGCTTTGGGCCTTAGGATAGTTTCAAAAGTCCAAAATTTGGGACTGGAAGGGGAGGAGTAAGAGCAGAGCAGATGGGTTCATACATGATCATTTCCATGTCCAGGCGTCTCAGCATGAGGGCACGCTAGCCAGGAGGCAACAGCTCAACCTCTCTGTGTTGTTTTGCATATGGCAGGGCATTTACTAAAGTGTTCACCTTCGGTCCAACGTTCCGGGCAGACAATTCTCAAACCCGAAGACACCTGGCAGAGTTTTATATGGTGGAGGCTGAACTATTTTTTGTTGACCGTCTTCAAGACATAATGCAGGTAAGAGTCTGAGGGAGAACTGTAAACAGGGCTTTTTCTATGCATGTTTTTGAGCGTTACAGGTTTTATGCATTTAATTCCAAGTTTTTCCTAGTTTTATAGGAAGAGTGAGGAAGCTTTCTGGAAGCTGGAGATCCTTTAAGACTTTTTAAAGGCTCTGAGGGCCACCTCAAATCAGAGCTCAGGTTTTCAGATTTTCTTGAGTTTTTGCATGGAATCTTGGGGTATCTCTCTGTCTTTTTTTCATTCTGCTCTCCCTGTTTGGGGGCTTACCTTACCGTATAGCACTCATGTATTTCCCATTTGACAATTATAGGAAACTGTACCATCAGTTTTCAGTTATAGCTAGAGTGGATTCTGGATCTACAAAAGAAGAGGTTTAGAGGCCAGACATGATCCTACAGCTACAGGTTGCCTACCCTGTTGTTGTTGTTTTTTTTAATGTTGGTAAGTTTCTATTAAAATGTGAAATAACATTTCCCAGCTGTCGCATTGGCCTTAAGTCAGATTTCAGCACTTTTACCCATCAGAAGAATGGTCAAGTGTCTGGTGGTAATTATTATTTTAATAGCTGACTTAATTTCTTGGAAGTGAACAGTGGCCAGATGTTTGCGTGTGTGTGTCTGAGTGTGTATTTTTACATCGCTGCTCATTTGATTAAGAGATGAATGCGAATTAGTTATGTTGTAACCATAGAGCTAGAGGTTAATTTATGTTTATACTTATAACTGCTTTATATTGTTACTTTTTAAATAATTTTTTCTTTTTTTTTTTCCTGCACTGCTGGCTGGCCGGCTTCCTTCCTTCCTTCCTTCCTTCCTTCCTTCCTTCCTTCCTTCCTTCCTTCCTT